AATGCGAAAACGCATGTTTGTGTAATATCCATATTACAAATATAAATTTCCAAAAAATAGCTTCTTTTCAAAAACACAGTCAGGACTCAATACATCAGAATCCATTATACTGACAAATTCAAATAACGACAGTGATATAGTGGGAACCATTTTTTCAACGTTATTATAATTCTTCATAACGGAAAATTCGTATTCCAACTCCGACACAATAAGATTGGAAACCAAACGTGTTATTTTCTATACAATCAGTACCCGTTAAACTGATACTTGGTCAGTCAAGCGCGCGTATCATAGAGCTGTGAACAAAAGCAGGTATTGTAGCTTGGTCAGTTGATTACAGACCAATCGTGTTGTCAGCTGAATTTTGTCACACTTGCCAACTTGTGACTTTTATAATTAAAATAATTGCAGAACCTCCAGCTTAACATCAACGGACTGCTTTTTATTTTATAAAGTTTCATCATTTTCATATTAATCTTTAACTATTTTAGTTGTTACTATTTAGATAAAGAAGTTGTTTTATTATTTTTATGATATGTAATGTGTATCATAAAGTGAACACATAAACACACAAATATTTTCATTATATATGTTTATAATAGATCTAATACATAATGTTCAGATACCAGTGAATAATCATATCATTTACATGATGAATGATGAAATTCAATATACTAACAAATTCGATATACTGACATATCATTTGGGAAACAACAGTGCCGTTATAATGAGTCCTGACTGTAGTCCGAATTCTGTCATTTTTATAATACCGTGCAATATTTGGTAATGATTCTAATTTCAATACATTCTTTTTTATTTATTTGGTTTATGTGGAATTAAAGTCGATGGGTAAGAGCACATTATATTTAAGAATGATTGTGTTCATTTGGTGATAGTTTGCATTTAAGGTTTCAATCACTCTGAGACGTTATAAATTACCAGAAAATAAAAACAAAATGAAATCATCGAAATATTAGTTCCAAACTATTGGTTCTTAAAATCACAATAGTTTAGACGTTTTGTGTTCTTTATTAATATTGTCCATTATTTAATCTTACTTAATCGTTAATTTTTTTTATATATAAAATCATTGGTTTAAAATTCTAAAATAAATCACAATTCCCAGTTTTGTTAAGGCCATTAAGGGGATGGGGTTTCAGATAGATTGTACATTATACTGTGCATAGCCACCTTTCAGGTTTCCATTTTAATTCCTTTAATTACTATTTAAGATTCAATGAACAATATATCATAAACATATTAACATAAAATTCCTAATCTATTTTAATTAATTTTTACTACAATATATTTGATTGTATTTACCAATTGAATACTGTTACTTCACTTGCCTTACCGAGTACCGATTTAAACATTTTTATATTGTTGAAGTTGTATCAGCTACTTTATCCAATTTATTTTGATTATTGTATTTTGATTGATTGATTGATTTATTTATTTATTTATTTATTTATTTATTTATTTATTTATTTATTTATTTAAGACTGTTGGTTTGAATTTTACAGAGATCATGTTTATTCAACTGCTTATAACCGAAACGAACACAGTTATAAAATGCTACATTATATAGGATTGTTAAAAATGAACAGAATTTATTCATCTGTTATTCCATTGGAAGATACAATTTATAACTCATAAGAACGTTGTATCAATAAATTCAGGAAAGCTTGTCATTTTTTCTCCCGCGGTTATTATTGTTAGAGCTTGTCAGGCAGTGTTGTAATCTCTCTTGAGTTTTGCCGAAATTGCAAAAGTAATGCAATGTTGCTAGAGGGAAATTTCGAGATGTGATACCATGTGGACCGTTATTGCGCTACAATTGATCATGACATATTGAAACAAATGTTTTCCGCATTAACAAGACCATTTGCTAGGAACGTGTTTTTCTTTCGTTGTGTCGTGTACGAAAGGTTTTAATAATTAACACTAGTTGCGTACACGTATCAATGACACTGATAAGGCAGAATATTGTATGAATGAAAGTGCAGCCTGGGAATTGCAAGAGAAAGAACTTGTACCAAAACTAACCGTTTTAGATTTAAAAGGTAAAAAATCACTGTAAGTAAAACAACATATACATGTACTATGACATGAAAATATTGTACGTTTTCAAACATTTGAGTGTATTTCTTATTTCTATTTTGACTGCCAGTGGTAAATCATAAACTTTTTTTTATGTTATGTCGTTGCCTTATCCAATGTAAAATCGATCCTTTATCTTTCAGAACATCAGATTACTGTCACACCTGTGTTTTAAAGCTACATCGAATAAAAATAACCTTTTAAATAAAGTTTCCTTTTAAAAGGAAAGGCTTGCACAGTTGTGCCTTCATCCCAACCCTTTAAAATTGTTCTTTTTTGGGGGGTTTCAATTTATTATCACATTTTTTTTTGAATTACGGTATTTGTATATCATAAAGGGTTTATTTAGTTTTTTTGTTTTTTTTTGGAAAACCGAATATTTTTTTGTCAAAACGATTTAAATCTATTCTCTATTGTATAAAACTAATAAAGAAAATGATCAATCGTAAAAATATTAACGTGATACTGAAGGAAAACAAGTGTGCACATCTCATTTCCCCCTTTTCGCAGCGAAATCATTCCTTTGCTTTATAGACAAGTAAATGCACTAAAATACTTCGTTACGTGGTACCAATATATTAATAAGCATGTATATATCAACTATGATCGTGGCAAGGTTAATGATATGCATGGGCTATTTTTAGATTACCTCACCAAGAAGTTGAATTGCGTTCAGTAGATCTAAATATAACTCGATCATGCGTGATTACCCTTTGAAGACGGAATAATACTACAGTCACCATTCTCTATTGTATAAAACTAATACAGACAAAAAAACAATTATAAAAGAAACTAACTTTTGCGTCTTGAAAAACAAATGAAACGGAACAATTTCGTTTATAATTTATTACGGTTTAAACCGATAAATCAAGTAAAAATAGAAATCCTATTTATATACACAAACTGGGATTACCGAAGTAACTAAAATAGCTTAGATTTCCGCAGTATGACGGAATCGCCCGAATTGTTACGATTGCAATCGGAACTACATCGGCTATTATCATTAATCCGAAGACTGACGGAAAAGGCCGAAAAGTTGTGATTGGCACGATTGCATCTGGTTTCCCGTTCAATCATGCACCAACAGATGTAAGCAGGAAACCACCTAACCGGAACAAGTTTTCCAAATGAAATGGCTTGCCTGCAAGCCAAAAACTGGCCACGATACGACAGTTATTAATTCCTTTGAAATTAAAATGTTGCATCAGAATCAAGCCTACTTGTCATTGAAGGCCATGTTCGATATTTCTCTTGGATGGCCTTTGCTCACATGTTGACAATTTTAAAACTGGTCTTTTTTCTTTGCTATTCATTTCCTTTTCTTTATTGTATTGTTCTTATTCGCTGCCTTGTTGATTTATGATTTAAACAGAATAATCTTTCTCGTTATCTTTTGTTTACACTAGGATAAATATACACATTTCTTATAGTTATAAATGAAATATTAAGAAATATCGATGAAATAAAATGAGTATTTTTATATTTTCTTTATTTTTACTGTAAACATTTTTTTCACTTCAGTTTAAACACATTTCTCGTATTTTCACTGGTGTCTTGCCGGACTACTTTCTTCCAAATTTTACTTGTACACAAACTCTTAGGGAAAGTCTTTCAAATTGTAATGATAATGTATATAATAAACAGAAACATGGTATGAAAATTATCATATTTCACTCTTGGCGAGCGCCAGTCATGAACTATTTATTTTCATACCATTCAATGAAAATAAATCATGTACTTATAGTTAAAAACGGGAATGTTATCATTGTATTTCAGTTTTGTATGTACTTATATAAAAAGATAAATTATTTGAAATGGTATAATTGCAATATTGCATTGTCCGTTCTCTGACCGTTAAACTTTTAAACTTTGACGGATATCTTATTTACGAGAACTTTAATCAGAATAAATATCACCTTTAACAAACACATTAATAATACATAATTTAATAGACACGGCTGATTGTGCATGTCAATGCCCTGGTACTGATATGTACATGCAACTAAAACCTTGTACATGTCGGCTAAAAATAAGCAATTTCTCAGCATTTGAAAAGTCTTATTTCTAAGATTGTAAAAACTTTTTTTTCTTTTTGTTCGCAAAGTTCAATGTAACTTATGTGACATGTTTCTAGAAAGAAATAAATGTCGTATGTAACTACTACGAAAGGAATAAAAGTCATATGTAACTACTACATTCCTAAGTTGTCACATGAATAACATAATTTACTTAGTGAGAATCTAATTATTTACATATTAACGCGAATTCCAGTATAATGATCAAAAGCAAGAACATTATCCCTGTATCTAGGGGGTATAATTAGATGCTAATAAACCAAGTTGATGTTTTTTCTCACGTTGCTAGATTTCGAATAAAGACATCCAGCACGAATGTTCATTTAGAATTGATGTATGGAAATTAATGATAACGCTGTCAAAGGAGATAGGAAATATCAAAGGTCAAGGATTCCTCATATTTTTAGGCGAGCGAATGATAATGCAAATTTTATATAAAATATAGCTTCTAACCTCTAAATGGAAAAATGCAAATATTATATGACTAATAACTTTTAACTTCTAAATAGAACAGAGATGTTTCCTTCGACATTCGCAAGTTTGAAAAGGACTTCAGGGGCACCGGAAGGGAAACTAATTACTGAGGCATAAAGGTTAAAATCGTATATTAAAAATACTTTTCACTATGGTATAATCTATGGTTACGGGTCTTAACATTCATTGATCCTAAACGTGATATTATGACCGTCTGTCGATACGTTAAGCATCCTGATTAAATGTTGAACGGCGCTTTTAATATTATGTTTCACCATCAAACAGTCTTGTCCAAGAACAAATATAACGGCTATATAGATTTTTAAAGGAAAAAATCCATGATTGATTTACCTGGCTATCGTCAAAATCCATATTTAAATGATATTCCGAAAGGATATCATCCCGTGAATTAACGTCTTCCAGAGCCATTTCTACGGCGGGTAAACATCCCTGCCCACCTGCCCAACTTCCAGACATTGGAAATATTCCTCCAATTGTAATATTTTTATCCTTTAGGCCATCGCAGTAATAGAAAAACAAAATAACACATAAAATACATTTGGTAATGTGTCTGTTTTCAGTGTAAAGTCTCATTTTCCCCCGTTTCTTTCTGTTATAAAATAGGCACAACTGTAACTTGCTTTCTAAACTATGAACGTTCTAAATCCATATTAAATGTTTTGAAAATACGCGTTTGTTTTGATATTTATCTAATTCCGACTTTTGAAAAGGAAACAAACATATCAATGCCTAGATTGAATTTAACTTCCAACGGCACACACTATATTTGTACAGCTGTAAAATAAAATAAGATACATAAAAAGCTTATCTGCACATATATATTCATTCAATCACACAGAAGTCCGTCGTAAAATATATCCGTTCTATTCTCGGTGAAACGAAAATCAATCTATAGGAATCAGCCAGCATTCAATTTTCTATAGCGGCGTCTAGCGAGCGTCCAATTCTACAGAATGATGGTGTATCTAAAATTGAGAAAATTCTCTCCTTTCTAATGCAAAGAACATTCCTATGGGTCGATATTGTATTCTTGCTCTCTGCCTTTCTATCTTTACAAGGGCAATTCTAGAAAAGATTTTTGTAACCCTAAAAGCATTCAGCTTGATTACGTTTCCCTAGAATTGTGAGCGGTAATTTGTCACTTGGATATTTACTTAAGATCAAGATGGCACAGAATAGGCTAATAAAGAACATATGAAATAAGTTGTTTACATACAAATGTCATCATGATTTTACCAAATTTGAAATAACTGAGAATGAAATGTATGCTTGGCTTATACGGATACCTGTATTGGAATGATAATGCTAATATTTTAAAGATTTATATGATAACGAATGTGTTTTAATTTCGAAAAAAAGCTAGTTTTAGGACTTTTTTTATTTTTACAAGTAAGAATGTGTTTAAACCATTATTTTTACTTGTATATATTATACACTTAGAATTATCTAAACAATTATTTAATGAGAAGACGAAAGGAACCAAAATATCTAGGAATCATAACTGTACTACGACTTAAAGGTTATTTGTTTATTGATTTGGAAAATAAACGTAGAGCCATTTTAAGAATAAAGTTTACTACCGTAACATTGAATTACAGATAGTCCAATTCAGATAAATTTGCTTGCTTAATTATAAAGATTAGATGGTTCTAAATTCTGAATTTAGAATAAAGTTGAAGATAGCATATTTAATATAAAAGGAGAGACCGACAGACTGTCTGTTTTGAATTTTGTTTTCATGAATAATGGTCGATTTTCGGAAGAGTTGTAACACAAAAGGACTTTGACTTAGATTTTGTACGTAAACAGAATAAAATGTTCCGGAACAAAATATAAGAAATGTTATTTAGCTATCTTAAGTGAATTGAAACCATTTGGCAATAATTTGGTGGTATTTTGTTCTTTAGGAAATATACGTATAAACAAATCTCTTTTAAACAAATATTTTGTAAGTATTGTTTTTCAAAAACTTAAACAGTGAGAATCAGAAATAAAGCTTTACACATTTTAATGTGAATGTACCAAAAGCTATTTCCAAGGTGACGATAAAATTTAAAGCTAACGTTAGTTCTTCTCGTAAACGTTAAATGTTATTGCGTTTTGTAAAGTCATTTGGCGCAGAGAAATCTCCGTAAGTGACAGTTTGTCGTACGTGCGTCTCCCAAATAGGAAACGTGATTTGAACATAAACATGAAACAATCATTATTCACGAATTATAAATACAGATATAAATGCATACACAGTTTGATTTATATCGTTTATTCTTGAGAACGCACGAACGTGAAAGAAAAATAATCAATAGATGCAATCGCGCTGTTTAGACTTGAAGACCTCGGTAGTTTAGTTATCAAAGTAAAAATCGCTCCAGAACGTGAAATTCGTGACCAAAAAAAAAAATGTTCACGAAAAACTGATTACAAAACGAGTAAATGCCAAATCATACTGTAGTACAGGAAAAGCGCTTATGCTGCTGTGTGTGTTCGTGTATTAGTATCTATAAAAGCCCTTGCATCTTTCATCTCTAAGCACTCTTAATGTGTCCTCTTGCTTCTGTAGATGCTATGTTATGATACGGTTATTAATCCTATATGGCTCATTTATTACATTTCAACAGTACTGTAGTTTAGGGGCGTCCGTGGCCGAGTGGTTAAGGTCGTTGACTTCAAACCACTTGCCCCTCACCGCTGTGAGTTCGAATCGCGACACGGACTTCCGATTCTTTCATGTGAGATAGCTATCCAGCTAGCTTACTGAACGTTGGCGGATCTACTCAGGTGCCCGTTAGTGCCTGAAATTATGCGCGGAAGGGCGCCTGAGGTCTTCCTCCACCAGTTAAACTAGGAAGTCGCCAAATGACCTATACTGTGTCGGTGTGACGTAAAACCCAATAAAAAAAACAAAAAAAAAAAAACAAACAAACAAGTAATGTAGTTTTTAGATGTGTTTCCAGAATTATGCGCAGAGTTACATTTAATTAATAAACATGAACAGACACTGTAAAACTAATAAGTAACTGTTGTATCTAAATAATGATTTTGTATGACTTGCATTTAAAAGTATCTAAACGTAAACCTATTTTAATTTAAAAATTATCAAAATCAAAAACTTAGGAACAAACTTTATAAACATAACAAACACATGATATAACAATTCACAATTAAGTGAGAAACTCTATAATATTGTATTATATTTTATGACCGAAACCCTGGTTGCGTTTTTTTATTGACTGACTAAACATTGATTTAGTTCCACAATATTGATGGCAGTAATTATAGTCTCAAAACATGTATAATATTACGGTGCTTCGGGATTATTTTTCCAATAACGTAGGCAATGCGCTTAGAATGTCTAGACACAATCAGGGCATTACCATCTTTTTTCGGATAGGTTTAGAAACAAAGTTCACAACTTAGATTCTATAAATAAGGTTAAACCATGTTTTCACTAAATGTATTTTCTCTGAAAAATCGATACAATTTTTGCAGTAGTGTTCATGACAAGGAAAACAAATCGAAAAAAATATACTTCTATCTTGTTGTATCGATATGCTTTACATTAAATCGGATCTCTCAATCCTGAGATTGTTTAATATACTTACTGAGATTAAAACAGGTTGTTTATATTATAGCACTTGAGTATATTGGTCTCTAAAGTTGTGTCGGAATGGATCTGAATTTCAAATTTCATAACTTATATATCGGTCTATAGTTATTTTAATGTATCTGAAGTTATATTTTTTCATACAAAATGTACATAAAACTCATAGATTATTTGTCGAAACGATAAAAATGCACTTGCTAGTTGTTACAACACTAAAGGAACTAGTTATCGGAATGCTAGATTTGTATAACACAGATTCGTTCCTGAGGCAAAAAGTGCCTTTAATCATTTTTATAAAGCTTTGCGCAAGAACAATCATTCATTTTGCGTAGTCTCTGTTTCTTACTTATGAACGAAAAGATAGATTTATCATCATGAATGATATAATAGATTTATTAACATTTCCTCTTTTTCTGAAAAAAAATCGTTTATCAAATTTTTAGTTCAGATAGACTTCCATACACTTAATATTGTTTAATTTTGCATACAAGTACAAATAATGAAACTCAGCCATGTCCTTTTTTGTTTCTAATGTTAGTGTAAGTGGTTATCCGATGCGTACTTATTATCTTAATTCAATCACTATTTGCGTTGATATTGTATTCTGCTGAAACAAACTCAATGTTTTTGTTTGCTTCTATGTGCGTTTCGTTCAGTGTTTAATTCTGAGTTTCTTTCTTTATGCAGAAAAGGCGTGTATCTTGATGTTAATACTTTCTGACATTTAAGATTTTGTTTATTTCGGAATTTTACGTCAGGATTTTGAAGCTTGATTCAACATAAGGTTGGATGGTGTTATTGAAACCTAATATCCATGTAATATTGCTTTATCAACAATAAATCGTTTGTTTTCTCTTGAGATTTTTGTGAATGCATTGTTGGTGAATTTTAATGGATGCCTACAGACTGTAATCAAAGGTAAAGGATCACTTTGAAAAATGGAAATACTGCAATATATGTATGCAGATTGGAACACTGATGCCTACATAAGTTACAAAAACAATTGACTTCTACTTGTTTACGCAAAATATGGTTGATAAATAATATTAAAAATTTGAGTATAAGTCATTTGATTTCTTTCTAACTCAAAATAATTTTTTCAGCCCTGGAGTACAAATTAAAGATATTAATCATCTTCATTTTTATGTCCTCCATAATTTGATTTGATAAAGTTATACATTCCCAATGGCTATATTAAATGATGGATACAATTTAATAATAACTCACTAATAATATCTTTATATACAAGCTACAAAATATGATTGATGGATTTATATATTTACGTTTTTCTCTGCCGGTGTCATTGAATAATAAATTTAAAAACAAAGAAAATACAGGAAAAATACCAAGGGGACTATCGGCATTATTCCGATAAGCTTAAAGGTCGCTTGACAAAACTTGTATATCATTTCAAAGTAATTATGGCAACATTTCAAATTGAAATAAGCTCACGGGGATATTTAGTTGACAGGCGATAAGGAGGAAATAAAGAATTTTGCTAAGCGTGCGTAACTTATGATTCAAAGCAGAAATCAAATAAATTGTGACAAATGAATTATATGTGACAATTTTAAAAATGTCATGTGAACATTTTCTAAGCACGCAAAAAATATTGTTAGGCGTTTCATAGATGGTGTTGATTAAATACAACAATTAACGTAATGTTTACTCTTTAACAGCTTAGAAAAGACAAGCGAAAAAATGCAATGTCACCGTTGACCTTTTATGCTATATACAGACGAAATTGATTTTAAAGCAACAATAAAGAGAATTAAATTCAAATACTGTACTTCATATTCAGTTTAATTGCAAGTATGAGGGTGTGTTTTATCAAAAGTGTCTCTATTATTTAATTAGCATGGATATTAGATATTAACATAATAAAGCATGTTTCCAAATAAAATACTCGCGAAGGCAACATCTGCATAATCGTAACGTAAAAAACTAAATGATTTAAAGATAAATTTGTTGATATTTTTTTATCGATATACAAGCAAATATTCATTCAATAACAGAAAATTCGTTCTACCTATATTCCTGTTAATATGACAGTTGTTTTGAATAGGGCTCAATGAACACTATTCTGAAATGATATACGGAAATGCTCTTTTTTCGGAAATGCATCATAATTTGGGGATCTGTCCGTTCACAACGTGTCACACTGAGTTAAATCGTATACATATGCATCGACAGTGCGTTAACTGGAGGCGGCACTCCAGAGCATGCCTATTGATTTGCTCAATGTTTTTCTGTAGTAAACTTATTGTGACGACAGAGAAAGGGATAGCGATAGTAATATCATATTCAATGCTCGTTCATGAATCACTGTTTTCTG